CCCACCAAAACAGGGGAGTGATGCGGTGAAGATACACCATTCCCTAGAGCTGAACTGGACTCCAACCTCCCAGCTCCAGAGGGTGATCCCTAACCAATAAGCCCTTCTTCTCCAGAGAAGCAACCTGCTCTGCTCAAAGCACCTTTGGCTGTGGTAGCTCCTGCAGGTTCCTAGGGTGGCTCAGGGCTCATTCTCTAAGGAGAAAGCAGCACGGTAAGTATTTTGGGAGGCTCCTAGTATTAAGGCACAGTCACTAACTGTGACTAAAGGAGATTTGTATGTACTCTGGACTGGTGCTATGGATGGGGGGACAATCCCAGAGGAAGCAAAATGATAATGTGGTGAAAACGAACAGTAGTGAGTGACCAGCAGCTGTTCCCCATCCATCCTCTCTGTGGCAGAGAACATCTCCTCCCTGTGCGTGCAGCACAATGCCTGACATTCAGGTCACAAGGTGTCATTTCAGTTTCTCCAAGTTCTTCTTTGTTTGATGTCCTAGTCTGGAAGCAGTTCAAGGAAAATCCTGGTGACTTCTCCTGCCAGCTTCTTTAAACAGCTGTCTATCTTCTGTCACTATTAGCCTAAACCAGTTGAAGCATGGAACATAGAAAGCCCTCTCTGATGAGACCCACTGGGTCCACAGCTTCAGTGGTGACTGCCAGAGTGGATCTGCCATGGATTGAAGGGCGTTAGGGTTCAAAAGGAGTTTTCTTCCTAGGTAACTTTTGAAAACCACACGCTTTTTAGGAATGTTTTCATTAAGTCCTAGACCCTTTCATAAAACCCTTACACCCTATGAGAGCATCTTCACATGTTGACATAGCAGGTAGAGCCAGCATGGGAACAGCTTTGGTTTCTTGATATGTGGAGAAGAAAAGAGTTGGATGGAACTACATGATCTTTACAGTCCCTTCCAACCCAAACCATCCCATGATTTTACTACTTATTTATTCAGCAAATGCAGCACACTCGAATCTACTTCTAGACTTTTAACAATATACCCATTTCTTCATAAAGCCGTAACAAGTTCAGAAGATGACTTGCCTATCTCATCACCAGCCTGCCCAAACCTAACTGTGTACACATTCTACCCCTGCTCAGCACAAAGTTCACTGAAAAAGCACACAAAATCAATGTTCCCTGCACTGCCGAGCTGATTAAAGATGCAGCTGGGATGAGAAAGGAAGCACAAGGTCCAGCATGGTTTCCTGTGCCTATAAATAGCTGTTGGATATGGTTTAGGCAGAGGTCAGCACCAGGCAGCTGCACGAGCTCTGGCTCCCATTTGCCTCATGCTGGAGGGAGTGGGACCGATGGCAAGACACGTTCCCCTTGGAGCAAGAGCTTTTCAAACACACACAGTGTACTCCTGCGGGATGAGCTGAAACAATGGAGAGGTTGTGCTCCTGCAGCGGGAGAAGGGCACTGGATACCTGCAGGGAGGGTCCCACGGGGATCACCCTGCAGGCTGGCAGCAGATGGACCCCTCGTTGGCCTCTCTGCTGAATAACAGACGAAATCTAAACCTGCTTCCAAACCGCTCTAAAAGAAAAGAACAGGCATCAAGATGCGATTTATGGGCTTCAGTGCGACAGAGGGACTTTGGGGGTGGCTTGGGTGCGGCTCCCCAGCGTCAGCGGCACTCCTGGTCCTCCACAAACACAAGCACGCTGTGACATCTAGTGGCAAGTTACCCGGGAAGCCAAGGGAAAGCTGTTTGTTTGACAAGTGCCTGGGCAGCCAGCCCCAGGCGTGTCTGCTGTATCGCACACTCCTCGGATGCAGAATTACCCATCCGTGTGTAACAGCGAGCACGATGGCTATTTCTACTTAGGCCAAGATGTGCTGGGGCATAGTAAAGTGTCCACAGAAAGGGACAGTATATCCACCTCAACAGACAGCTCTTCCCTGCTCTAGGTGGAAAAGGTCCTGTCCTTCTCCCACCCCAGGTAGCCAGCATCTGCTGGCATCAGCTCCAGAGCCACGGCTGCAGTGGTGCCAAGGCACAGGAGTTAGATGGGGTTGGATATGAGCCTGGCCATTCACTATTTGTCATCCACATCCTGCAGCAGCAACTAGTGCTGGTGTTTGACCAGCTCAGTGGCCCTGCCAACGCTTCCAGAAGCCAAAGCACTGGGAACAGCCTGCATGTAACCAGAGAGGTGGAGCAGCAGACCCGGCACTGTGTACCCCTACTGCACATTCACCTCCTTACTATCCTATAGCAAGGTTTATTTAATATTTCACCCTTATTTTCAGACACTGTTTGATTTCATGCATTGTCATCAGTGACATATTCCATCTTAGCCTGAATACAGAAATCAAACCAATAGGCTTTGCCTAGGCCCATCATGCAAGGGTGGGGTAGCATGAATCAGGGACATCATCCGCTTACTGTGCTACTTTGGGAAAGAAGGAAGGAACAATTACCAAATCTGAGGATTAAAACTGAGAAAAGCTGTCAAATTTCAAGAGAATCCTCATTGTTGTGTGAGAATTGGGAGCTGGAAGGAACTGGGGAAGCTGCTGCTCAGCACACGAGGGCTGAGCTCTTCCCAGAACCACTGTCTGCACCCATACAAACACACTGATCCTGCCCTGCTTCTGGTAGGTGATGGGAGCAGCAGTGAGGTCTGCAGTGCACAGCCCTGCAGGGCTGAAACCATGGTGCTCAGCACCAATCCTACTTCAGGTGTTTATGTACTTTCGTGAACACAGCTGAGACCCACACGTGGTCCCGAGGCTCCAGCAGCCAGAAGACATCAGGCATCACAACCCAAGCCTGCCAAGCTGTCAGCAGGGCCTTTCCTTTGTGCTTTGCCTTTCAGAAAGCTTTGTTTTAATGCATAAACCAGCTACTTATTTATATAACTTATTCACCAGAGAAGTTGCTTTCCTACACAAGCATGCTTGAAGAGGCAGTGGAGGAACCGGTAGAGTGGGCAGTGTGTGCGCTCAGCCCTGTCCTGCCTACCACGAGGGCCAGGGTTTTGGCCGGTGCTGGGTAATGCTGACCCTGGAAGTGCTCCTGAACGGTGGACTCAAAAGCTTGAATGGCACGTTATATCAAGAGCAGCAATGCACATAGAGGTGCTTCCAGAATGGCCTCCTCATCTCTTCACAGCTCTCTGACCACAGGGTGAGTGCTGGGGACAGGGGATACCCCACTCACAGCTGGTAAGGGGCATCACGGGGGCCTTTTTAGCACCCCAGCAGGTTTCTCCACTGCCACACACCCCAAGTGAGTGAATAACTGGCAAAAAAAAAAACCAAACATTCCCATCTTCTGACATCAGCAGTTAATTCATTTCTAAAAGACAACTCATATTCTACCTTAAAAGAGACCTTTTCGCCTGCCTGGAAGACGTGTGTGTAGCAATGGATGGATGCTCAGCCCTGGCCTCAAATGCAGCAAGCTAATTGTGTTTCTTCTCAGCTCTTGTGCTCGGCACATTGCCAGGGTGACGCAAAGCAATGAGAAATAAATTGACTCAGAACTTGGCCAGAGAGCATCAGCAAACACAGGGCTGAAAGCTCGGCGTGATTTATTTTATAGAGAGGCAAAGGACAAGAAATGCAGTGTTGTTCCCAGTCGTGGTCCTGGCAAACAGTCCTCAAAGCTCACACGAGAGCAGCGCTGCAGGCGAGGCTGAGCAGCCCTGTGGCTGGCTGTCAGGAGAGCATCGCTGGGAAGGGACATGACACTAATTCACTGTAACACTTCCACCTCCTGCCCTGAGAATACAAAGTGTTTTACACGAGCAGTGGAATGAAAGGCACTGTCTGACGTGCAGACACTTAATACCCTCCTGCAAATCTGTCAGGGTTCCTGTGGGATTCTTTCAGCGTTACAAAACAAGCCTGTGGCAAAGGTGGGAGCTGAAGTTGGCCCAGCTGGTGGCCAGAGCAATGCCAGGATTGCCCCAGCACGGGGGCTCTGGCCCTGCTGGAGGTACCTGAGCACACGGCAGGAGAGCTGAGACAGCAAACACACCCGACCTGCACCCCAACCCCTCCTCCTGCTCTGGGGAGGACAGGCAGGGTCTGGGAGCACAGCATGAAGCAGCACCCACTGCCCCCTCCAGCCGCTGCCCGTGCCACCCCACTGCTGCTGGCACAGGTGCCTGCCCCACGGGTCCCCTCTCACTGCTGCAAACACGTCTCTTTTACCATCGGCTCTCAGGGAGAGACACCGAGCTCAGGGTCACTTCTCCGTTGCTGATGGTTTCCCAAGGGCTTTCCCATGCTTTCCCCACCAGCAGCACCGCTGCTGCTTCCCAGCTCCTGCGCTGCCCACCGGTGCCAGGCGGGACAGCTTCCCCCGCCCGGCCATACACACAGGCAGGGACGAGGCTTCAGCGGTGAGCACTAAGGGTGCTTCCTGGTGGCCCTGTGAGGAACCCCCGGTGCTCTCCCCTGCTCCCTGCCTGCCCTGCGCTGCCACTTGCGCTGAGACACAGGGTTCCTCATCGAACAAACCGAGCCCTGTTCCTTGGCCAGGATGTGGAATTTCATGGCTGATAACGTGTGAGAGGCACATAGCACACCGCACACATGGACGTGTCTTCATGCACCCGTGTATATACTCCCAAAGGACTCCTTCCCCTCCCAGCGAATCCCAGTGGCTGTGGAGAGCGGGGGCGACGAGCCTGCCATAGGTACCTGCTACCATCTAGAGGAGAAACCTGTGCCGAGCACAGAGCCCTCACGTTCCTTCACAGATCAGGCTTTGCTGATTCAATGTCCCCCGTGTGACAGATGCTAAAGCATCAGACTTCAATATTTCCAATAGCTACACTTTTTTTCTCTAAATCCCAAACAAAATCACTGTAAACCTTCCTGGTTTCTGCCTAACCAAGCCCGAACACAAGCTGCACATCTCAGGTGGGAACTGCCACACCTTTTGCTGTTCCTTCTCCCAAAACAGCTTATGCCCCATTTTCTGCTAATAAAATTAAAGAAATAGAATAATCAAGGCAAAACAATAAACCTCCTCCTACCTTCCATGGGGAGGGTGAACTGCAGCGTGTCACTGTCCTGGGCAGAAGCTATTCCCGTGCCCCTGCAAGCAGTCCTGGCTGGGGCAACTGAACTCCAAGCCCATCTGCTCAGCTTTAAGCAGGACCGCTGAGATCCCACCCAGGACGGGGTGGAGAATCCTCCCTGGGAAAGAGCAGCTCGGTCACAGCTCCCTCCAGCCGCTCTGCACATCTTGGCAGGGCTCTGACATGCCGTTTCCTTTCTCTTTCCCTTGGTATTCAGCAGCAGGCCCTTCGGCTGCCGTCTCACATCAGCATCTACAACCGAGTTCACAACAGGGATTGAGTGTGACAGTGCCAAAGGTGTGGGTGGCATGGGCACCAGCAAGGAATCTGTCAGGACACAAATGCAGGGTACATGTAGTTTGAATTAGGATGGAGCTGAGTACACGCAGAGGTGCTGAAAACACTGGTTCTGACAGTGAGAAATCCTCGATAACTGGAGCACAGCCCAGATGCTCGAGCTCAGTGCAGAGCACGCTGCCCAGCACTATAATGAGGACACCACCCCTGGCACAGCTCTAGTTTTGCCAGAGGCAATGGGAAAAGCCTGCTAAAACTTGTGCTTTTGCATCGGAACTCATACCCAGCAAAGGACATTTTCCTTAAACCCACCTCTCTCTCACGTACATTCTGACTCGACCAGAGGCAGCTGAGCACGGTTTGACCTTGCTCCACAGTGAATGGTCCTTACAGGGAGCATGGTTGCACACAGGCAGCAGGCTCCCAACAAGATGGGCTACAAGAAGCACCACACAACCCACCCGGGTGCTGGCTGGTTTGGGCTTCCCTTGGGCTTTCTGGCAGGTGGAGACCAGAGGATGCCAGTAGCATGTTTGGACATTAATGTGTTTATTACCTACCACACACATTTGTTCAGTTTTGGACCTGTTCCCTCTTTGTTTGAGGCTGACCTGCCCAGCACCAGGCAGCTCGCACAGGCCCTGCTCCCGCTGCCACTGCTCACCTTGGGGACATCCCAACCTACCACTGCAGTGAGATGGAGAAGCCAGACAGTGTGCGCAGCAGAGCTCGCTGCAGCATTGCCAGGAGACCAGAGCTGCTCCCAGCCTCCATTTCCAGCTGCTCACTGCACACAGCAGATGCCTGACAGGGCACTGGCACTCACTACTGGTTACCTGTGCCACAGTCTCACACTAGGTAACAAGGTTAAGCACTAATGAAGGAAAATCCCAAAACAGGGTCCTTGTGGCTGCCAGACATATATAGCAAACTGAAACAACTCCTCATGAGGCTCCTACTTGGAACATGCTCCTGTAGCATTTGTGGAGGGAGACATCCACACTCAGGTCCCAGTTATCCTGACCAGGAGTGGCTGGGACAGCCACATATAAGCCACACCAGTGTGATGAAAACAGAAATTAGCCTTCGCTTGCTTCTGAAATAGGATGTCTGAAAGAATAATGTTTTGTGACTCCAGAAATCAGAGGAAATGGAGACATAAGCCCCACACAGGGCACCCTTCAGAAAAGAGCCCAGAACACATCTGGGTTCCAGGGTGGCCCTGCCTGGGGCAGGCAGCACTCTGCAGCACATTGGTACCTGCACCCTGAACCCAATGCATGCAGTGATGCAGAGAACCCATTGTATGCAGTGATGCAGAGAATCCAATGCATGCAGTGATGCCGAGAACCCAATGCATGCAGTGATGCAGAGAACCCAATGCATGCAGTGATTCAGAGAACCCAACGCAGGCAGTGATGCAGAGAACCCAATGCAGGCAGTGATGCAGAGAACCCAATGCAGGCAGTGATGCAGAGAACCCAATGCAGGCAGTGATGTAGAGAACCCAACGCAGGCAGTGATGCAGAGAACCCAATGCAGGCAGTGATGTAGAGAACCCAATGCAGGCAGTGATGCAGAGAACCCAATGAAGGCAGTGATGTAGAGAACCCAACGCAGGCAGTGATGCAGAGAACCCAGTGCAGGCAGTGATGCAGAGAACCCAATGCAGGCAGTGATGCAGAGAACCCAATGCAGGCAGTGATGCAGAGAACCCAACGCAGGCAGTGATGCAGAGAACCCAATGCAGGCAGTGATGTAGAGAACCCAATGCAGGCAGTGATGCAGAGAACCCAACGCAGGCAGTGATGCAGTCATTGCTCTTCACGAGGCGCACACAGCCCCAGGGCTCCCCGGGCCACATCTCCTGCAGGATCTGCACTCCCTGAGCAGAGGCATCCCCAGGACCCCAGGCGGGGCTCAGTCAGCGCTGCTGCAGGGCTGGAGGGCGGCCCCGTGCCCCAGGTGACACTGCTGCCCTCGCTGCCTCCCGGCCCCGCTGAGCTCCCCGAGGAGCAGCCCCATGGTATTTTTAGCCTGTTTACAAAGCCGGAGCAGAGCTCAGGCCAGCACAAGTGGTGCAGTCAGTGGGCAGCTGAAAGCCAGTGGGCAGCAATGTGGAGGTGGTTTTCCAGGATAGGTGCTGATGTTAAAGAAGGAAAGCAAACCAGAACCAACACCAGAACATCACCATCTTGCCCTTCCTGTAATGAGCTTTTCTCCTTCTGAGCCTCACCTCGCTGGGGACCCAGCTCTGCAGGTGCAGCAGTGTCGGGGTTCCACAGGCTCCTGCTGCTCCCCTCTAACACAGCTGAAGACCATGAGGCCAGAAGAAACTTCAGGGATCTGGTGTCTGGATCTTTTGCATGGTCTCCAGTGAGAGCATTATCCACCTCACCAGTGTCTGTCTTGAACTGTGATGCTTGTGCTAAGCATGGCAGCCCAGGAGCAGTAGTAATAATTGTCAGAAAAGTGACCAGCCTTCTTCAGCTCCAATCTGAAGTCACCTGGAATTTGTGTGCACAAGTCACGTTAGTGTTTTAGACATCCTGTCATAAGCAGAGCAGGGCATCTTCTTCCCCTTTCTGTGCAGATCATTCCAGAGGACACCAGGTAGATGGCTCCGGTTCAGCATGAATGCCCTAAAGATTATGCAGTAACACCAGTCAATGTTATTTGCCCTTCTTCCAACACTTACAAACTGGTGAGATTTGTTCCAGTCAGCAGGTTTTGGGATCGATATTACGGATCCTTTCCTAAATGCCACTTCAGTCCCATGTCACAAGGGATGGGGCTGATGTCCATCATGCTTCCCTGCTGCCCCTTGTTCAGAGCCCAAACCTCTCCTTAAGGTGAATGAAGGGTGCTCCAGGCTTCCAGGCAGGTACACACCAGACCTGGTGTGCTCCGCAGCCAGGAGGAGGCTCAGCTCAGTCAGCATCTTTGTTCTTCTTTACAGAGCCAAGGGCAAGCAGGAAGCAGCCGTGTTAGAGCTCTGGCATCTGGTGCAGGGTAGGAAAACACTAACCATGTCTCTGTCCCTTATATTTAGGGAAAACATGTCCATGCTGCTTTCTCACAGCCCAGCATGACTCGTGTGCATCTGTCTGTTCTGGAAGGTCACCCAAGCCACAGTGAGTCAACACAAGATGTTTCATCTCAGAGCACAGCTCGGCCAAGCTGTGTGCTCAGACAAAAGCCCAGCAGAGCCAGGCTATGGGCGGCCAATATGTATGGACAGGGAAAGGATGTCTTATAAGGCTTGAACCAACACAAGTCTCTGATGGTGACTGCAAAACTAGAAAGCTGGGGAAATGTCAACCCCTACAGAGCCAAACCACTCTGTACTCCCCCAAAAATATTTGGAGGGTTTGGCCTTAATGCTCTTGCAGGGGGAGCTGGGCAGGCCGGGGTGGTTGGTGATGTGCCAAGGTGCGGAGGGGCAGCGCAGGCTGAGCCTGGGGGGAACATTGCTCCCCTTGCTCAGCACCCACAGCAGAGCTCTGCCCTGCTCAGCGGGAGCCCAGGAGCAGCCTCAGCAGGACAGCGTGCTGGGAGAGGAGGCAGTGACCTGGGTGAACAGGGGACTTCCTTGTACATCCCTGGGCATGGCCGGCTGCCTCCCGCAGCACCCTGAGCACCTCCAGCCCAGCCAGGTCTCACCAGTGGCTCCACACTGGGCTCCACAATGCGCACTGCTGCTGGCACGGCAAAACCCACTGCTCCCACCCAGGCCTGCTCATCCACCGTGTGCAGACACGGCAGGCAGGGACAGCATCAGGGTACAAGATGCATGTAGAGCCTGCGGCGACCTCCCTTGAAGATGAAGCAACCCTGGCGATGCCCATGGGGGATCTCCCCACATCTGGAGCTGTCCCAGCCCAGGGGAGGAGCTGGTGCGCTCAGTGCTGCAGGGGAGCTGTGCGGGGCAGCAGAGGCCAGGGACAAGCATCTCTGGCTGCACTGGCCGGGGACCTGGGCCAGGCACCACTGGAGGAAAGGGAGGTGTGGGCTGGCGGCAGCCCTCGCTCCATCCTGCAGTGCCCCCCAGGCACAGAGGGATGCAGCACAGGCCGTGGCATGCTTTGTTTTGTGAGGATCAGCACAGCTCCGCCGGCCTCCGGGCTCCCTGGGTGCCTGTGACAACGCTGCAAAACAGCCGTCGAGGCAACCGGTGCCCTGGATAAGAACGCGGACAGAGCAGGGAGGAGAGGCCAGGGGAGCGCCTGGACCCCTCTCCTAGCACTGCAGACGGCGTCTTGGTCCCTCTGCTCCCGCGATCCCAGGGGAGCCGCCTGGGAAACCACAGAGCACTCTCTGCCACCCCGGGAAAAGGAGAGCAGGCAGCGCCAGCCTCGCCGCTGCGGCTTTGCTGCCCAGCCCGTCCTGCTCTGCAGCACCTGGACTGCCGCGCAGCCATCGATTTCCAAAGCCTCCCCTCCGAGGCTGCCTCCCCTCCAAAGCTCTCGGTGTGGTTTATATTGTATCCCAAAATAGAAACAAGCGGCTGAAGTGCCGCTCACTGCACGGGTTTCTTCCCTTTCCAAACGCAGCCCAGACCTCAGGGTGCACCGGAGGGCCCCGGGATCGGACCCGGCTCTGGATGAGCTGTCACTCAGTGCTTGGCATCCTGCTGAAGGATCCCCATGGCCGCGCTGCTGTAGCGCCCTCAGCGCCAAGCCCGCGGGTGCTGCGGGATGCAGTGCTGGGAAGGGCCGGCCCAGGAAACAGCCAGGAGCAGGTCTGATGCCATTTGTGGGGCTTTATTTTCTTCTCCTCGGCATTGACTCAGAAACACACGAGCACTGAGGAGCTGCCTAATTCCTCCTTTGGAAAGCCTTATCACAACATTGATTTTAGAGCAGAGCAGATGCAATAATATTAGACAGAAGAAAATGCAGCTTTTGCTCTACTGAATACTGTTGCTTTCTTGATGTTAGCTTTGGTTTTAATACCATTAAGTAGAAGAGCTAATATCATCTCAGGCATGATTGAACTCAGTCACAATAACTTATACTGCCTTTTGTTATTGTGCAGAAAACAATACAATTAGACACTGAAGAATTACTTTGACACAGCAAGGAGTTTGTCATGCCTAATTCTCACCCATCTTTCTGTAATGTAAGGCTAGCAAACACAATAGGTTAAAAATACTTTTTCCTCCTCTGACAAATAACAAACAGACCACATCTAGTATCTACAGAAGCCTCAACTCTAACCCCTATCACCAACAACAGCACATGTACCAGCACCGCCCTCAAGGCAAAGCCCATGATTATGGGGCACGTGAAACGGCAGGAGGGAACAGCTTTGTAAAAGGCTCAAGATAATTTAAATACCCTAAAAATCAGAGGTCCAGAATGCCGGAAGTCCAAAGGTTGGAGTGAGAGATGATCTCTGTGGGGTTTTAAGATAGCCATAGCCTGGTTTCCAAGTACCACCTCAGCTGTGCCACTCTGGGAAGGGGCAGGCTGAGCTCAATCAGAAGGATGCACTTTTTCACAGGAAACTACTGAGAGTTTCTGTTTTGGAAGTGTTCTTTTCTAAAGCACAAATACTTTGAAATGCCATTTCTCTGGAGGCTGGGCTGGAATATATTTTCCAATTAATAACAGGGCTATTAATTTAAAACTTTTTTTTTTTTCCTAGGAAACCCAGAACTGCAATAATCTGTGGTCCTGAAGTCTGACCTTTGTGATATGCTCCTGCACCAGAAGTGGGAGCTTGTGCTTTTCCAACACTGAGAACAGAGGGATAACACAAACCTTACTGAGAGACAGCAAATGCCTGAACAATGAGCACTTCGAAAAGATTCCTGAGCATGCTGAGCGTTATTCATCTCATCTGGGAGACTTGTAATGTAAGTTCTGGCTGTTGTTTTACAGAAGAAACAAACCATCCACCCGACAGAATTCCTTCTGCTCCTCAGTAACACTCATGCTTGGCATGCCTGCTGAACAGCACATCTTGTATCTACACATGATAAACCACTTCCAATGGACCACAGTTCCAGTCTGGGGTGGTGGCTCCACAACTGTGGGTTTGGTGCCACCATTCAGTCCAGCTAAAACACCCCTGTGTTCCTATGGCCATGACCAGCCCCTACAAATTAAAGTGAGGGTTTTCAAACCAGTTTGAGGACCTTGGAGACCTCCAAATC